TTACACAAACTACCCTTAAGCTAACACATAAATATATAACCAGCAAAAAAAAAAAAAAACACATAAATATATTATTTCCCCTGAGGTTTACGACCTAATTTTCTGATCCATTTCATTATAAATATTGAATTAATATCGGGTCGCAACGAATAGTGTGACCCATTATCAACCAAATGGCCGTGAGTGATTATTTCAGATCAATAGATGACACAGATTCTTGAACTATGCCCTTTGTTGCACATTTCCTCTTAAACTATATATTTTCTCATATTATACCTTGAACTATTAATTTTAAGTTTTGCATCGCCCCAATTGCTATTTTTTGTCCAATTTTTCATGAAAAGCAAAGCAAAGTCAAAATAAAAACGACAATGTTAGACCTTAGAAGACGTTTCTTTCTCTTTTAAGTTGAGCAAAACTCTATTTTTTTCATAGATTTGTATTGAAAAAATGGACAAAAGCCAACAATTAGGACAATGTAAGACTCAAACAAATAGTTTTAGTCACATTGTAAGAAAGTGAATAATTTAAAGAACCATGTGTAACAAAATNAGTGAATAATTTAAAGAACAATGTGTAACAAAACAGACAATTTATGAGGCTTAAGTGTGATTTATTCTTTATATCTTTTATTATTAGATTGATCATAAATTCCATTGGGTATCGGAATTCATCTTGAATCCAACCTTCGCAAATACTAAATTTTGTCGATCAATAAATTTGGTCGATCAAAATTATGCATTCATATTAAGTGAATAAGTACATAGATATTTCTTTGGGTAGCAAAAGGGATTTTGCTATTATGCATGTGGTTTGATCCAATCGTCAGCAGAATTACAACCAGAATTGGTTGCCATTGTTCCACAATAGTACTAGAGATATGGGCGACTTGTCAATCACAGATTGACACATGGCAAGTCACAACTAACAAGTGTGTCATGTGAGTGAATATAACCCACCAAGGGATGCATATACACACCGTTGATCCCGAGAATTAATTGCCTTTGGAAAGAGCGTGCCGTGCAGAGTAATTATTATCGTCACATTAACTCATAAGCTATATCAAAAGTTTAATATTTTGCTAAACAAATTTTAGGATCAAATTAAGAGTTCAAATAACATGATAGTTGATTATTTAAAATTTTTATTGAGACCTAAATGACATGACACTAATTAAAAAAGTCTAAATCAACTGTCATGTCATTTGAACTCTTCATTTAATTTTAAAATTTAGTCAGTATGACATTACTGATATCAAAATTGTCGAAAAAATAAAGGCATAACCCTTGTTAGCTAAGAATAGCACTCGGGGATATCAAATTGAATGTTTGGCACGAAACCATAAATGCACAGCGATAAGGCACTTTACGTTCAGAACAAGGTGGTATTCAAGGGACAAGAAGTTATAAATACTTAATCTCATTGAGCATTTATGTCCAATTGCATCCTATTGCACTTAATTGCACAATTTGGTGGTTGTAGACTGTCAAGTCTAAACTGTACGTATTCAAGTGATTATCACAACACCACATTAGAAGGTATAATACCCCAGTAAAATTGAGCACAAGTATGCTTGTTAAATTAGTTTTGTATTGTATACTTATCCTCTTAGTCTTAAGTGCCGACTAACTNGGTATAAAACCCCAGTAAAATTGAGCACAAGTATGCTTGTTAAATTAGTTTTGTATTGTATACTTATCCTCTTAGTCTTAAGTGCCGACTAACTGAAGTTTATGAGAGAATACGTCAGGTACATTCTCCGCCATTTTCTAATTTCATTCCTTGTTTCAAGAATCTCACATAAGCTCATCTTGGAATAAACTATCTCAAATTATTGCAAAAAATCACACGTGCATGAATCAATTGTGCTATAACCAATTGTGCTATAACGGTTTTGGCTTGCAAGACAAAGTTGAAATAAACACAATATAACAAATGTTTATTAGAGAAATTCCACTAATACAGAATAAGGCAGTGCTTGTTTACATTAGTTACTTTGAGAGAAGGAAAAAAAACACTGGCACTCAACTTAGAGATTTACAATGGTATTTCTCTAGTCTCATTGCAACCATTATTTCTCATTCACATCGATTTCAACATTTACTTTACTTCGATTTTCTTACACCATTCACTTAACCATATGGCACGCAAAACCAAGCTATTGAATTTAGATCACATCTAATACACTTTAGTTTTCAATTTTTCAATGGTAGATCATCCGAGAGAGATCTATTGAGAGAAAGTGTACTAGAAATGATTTGGATCCAACACTGGTATTACTTAGACTCTCAAGTCGCCGTGCTTGTCGCCATTGTCTTCTCCATTCTTGCCTTCAAACTTAATATACTTATACCAATTGGCACATATAATGTACACCACTAGATCAGCTGCTGTCAAAGCTGCTAAGAGGAAGTAAAACCTATCTAGATGACCCTTGTTGAGATTTCCAGGTATCCATCCAGGCATTTTATCAGTAGCAGAAATCTTAATGACTATGGTCACTAATAAGCTGCTCACATAGTTCCCTAGTGATATGGATGTCATGCACAGTGCACTGCCAAAGCTCTTCAAACCGTCCGGCGTCTGCTTGTTGAAGAACTCCAATTGACCAACATACATGAAAACCTCGGATGCTCCGATGAGCACATACTGAGGGACTTGCCAAAAAATGCTTAAAGAACTCGAGCCTTCACAGTTGGAGCAATTTTGTTGTGTGTATTTTAACCTGAAAACCTCTACAGTACCGGCCGCAATCATTGCCATTATCGCAATAACAAGCCCGATTCCCATTCTTTGAAGCTCAGTAAAGCCTGTAGGACTAGACTTTCGTAACCTGGCAACAAGGGGGTCGAGAACTCGCCTGCAGATGAAAATGAAAGCAAAAGTTATTTTTCACGACAACTTTCTTTTCGTCGTCAACATTTTAACCAAACATTTTAGGCACGACTTTTAGCGACAACTGGAAAAAACTGTCCCTTCAAGTGTCAGGAAATCACTTTTGCCAGACTACCACAATAATTCATCGCCAAAAGCATTTCCACTTTTGCCTTCTACTACAATAATTCACCACCAAAATTCGTGCTTTTAGCCATGTTTTTTTTTTCTGTTTGTCACTAAAAGATCACCGCGCAAATGGTGGAGTGGTACTCTAGGCTTATACTTCTGTGATCAATCGACAAATTGGCCAATAACTCACCTGTAGATAAAAATGAAAGCTGCAACGCTGAGGATGTCGAAGCTTGACATGCTAGCGGGAGGAATGTGGAAGCTTGAAATGGTAGTTTTCATGGCAGCCCCTTGTTCCACAAAGAGGGAGGCCATTTGAGTGAAAACAACTGAGTACAGTATTGTGCATAGCCAAATTGGAAGAAGTCTGAGAATGCATTTTACTTCTTCAACTTGTGTCACAGTGCAAAGGTGCCATGAATTAGGCCGATCCTTGCTCTCATGGATGTTCTCCTTTGATGTGATTACTGCTGCTCTATCCAAGAACCTAACAATATGAATAGGAGTTAGATATTTTTCATCCATGAAAAAAACAAAGATGATATTAAGTAGACTTGTAAATGGATTAGATTTTCGTCCAAATTCTATAGCTTAATAAGAAATAGTCTTTTTTGATCAATTATCCAATCCAAATCCAATCTATAGGTTTTTGGGCAAGCTGGCCCTGGCCAGGCCATCACGAGGCGTCTAAGGCCCGGGCCACCCCCGGTCATGTGACATAAAAAATTAGGTTATGAAGTGCACAACTTACATAAATCCTTGGGTATGGAGAATTTTTCTGCTCCCATTGTTGTCAAATTCATCTCCATCTTCTTCATGTAGTTCCTCTCCATTCACTGGGACTTGGACCTTCCATTTTCTTGCTGAAGCAACAACAACTTGGCAAAACCTAGAGAGAGGGTTTCCTTTGGGCACAAAGTGCCTATACCTTGGAGTCCCAGCAAGAAACAAGACCAAAGCTATCACAGCTGAGCCAGTGGATGCCCAAAAACCAAGTGCCCACATGCCCTCATCCTCAAAATAGCCTAAGATTGTGTTGGAAAAGAGAGACCCCAAGTTCAAGGCCAAGTAGAAGAAGCTGAAGAAAGCCACCTTTGAGTGGCCTTCCTTGGGGTGGTCTTCATCAAACTGATCTGCCCCAAATGTGGCAATGGTGGGTTGGTACCCTCCATTTCCAAGGGCAATTAAGTAAATTGACGCGTAGAAAAGCGATATCTGGAGGCTTGTGTGGTTGCCACATGGAGTTTGTTCATCACCACAGCCTTTGGGCTTCAGTAAGAAAATGTAGGATGATAGGGATAATGATACCAAACCCTGTCATGGAAACACATTTAGAATACATGACATACGCCAAAGCTCACATCAAAATAATTGACTATTCAGCATGACATTTATTGAACTTAACCCTCCTACAAAATGTTGTTACAATCAAATTCCCGACCCATCTAAAAACTGACAACAAGAGATCGAGTTGAATATTTTAAAAATATTTGTGATATTTTTGATAATTTAGATGTACAATCCATTAAAAAAACCTTCATAGCAAAGCTTACATATATTGGTTGTATATAGGTTTTCAACAGTATATCAGTAAACCATTAATACTAAATTTAATGATAATATACAACAATTACAATTATAAAAGTTATAATTACCGATATGTGTTTCATGTTCATATCGTATCGTGTTAACTGAAAACTAGAATAATGACAAATGCTCAAAAAATGGTAGCTTACGATGACAAAGATTGCTTGAAAGATAGCACAAGTCTTGTATCGTCCCCAGTAGGCGTCGCTGAGGAAGGCGCCGAGGAGAGAGAAGATGTAGACAGTACCAGTCCATTTGCTAACATTGTTTGCTGCTTCAGCATTGTCTTGACCCATCACTCTGGTCAGAAACAACACCAAGTTCACCCCTACCCCAAAGAATGCCAGTGTAGCAAGCCCTTGGTTCACTGTTTTTATGTTGTTGATCAAAGGAAAACAAAGTTATTATCATTCAAGATAGTTAGAATCACTGACTTAAGTGCATAAGACCTGAGGGGTGTAAAGTTTAATTTATAAAGAAATTTGGGGCAATGTACAAAAAACAAATGATTTGGGCAAATATACTTTTAGTGCTTAAAATAACCAAAAATATCGTTTAGGTCCCTCAATAACCCATTTTACCAATTGCATCCCTAAAGCAAATGATTTTCTGTTGGCATTTTCTAAGAACCTTTAAATTGAAATTAAAAACTTTGACTATGGAATTGACAAGATTAGTGGATCATGGACCAATGAAACATTTCACTCATTCTTTATGGATTAAGAGTGTGTAGTGATTTTTGCCGTACAAATTTAGGCATCTATAATTGATTGATTAGCCTATTTACAATCGGATGAAAAAAAATTTTGAAAGTAAAACCGACCCGATTAGAAGAAACAAAATCAAAACACGGCGACATAAAACACTTTAAAGGACCATTATTGTACAACAGATATTACTTGATCAAATTTGTGAAATATAAAATCAATGAGAGAGAGAGAGACAAAGACAGAGACTTACCCAGTAACAGAGTAGCAGTAGACCATGTCCCTGTTCTTCCACGAATAGCTGGTCGGCCATGGAGATCAACAGCTCCATCAAGGGTGCATTCTTCTTCTTCCTTCAGATTCGTTGTCTGCGTGTCATTCTGAAGATTTCATGGAAATTGAAGATCTATTAGTGATGGTCATCATAAAAATTGCATGGGTGTTATGTTCATATTTCACTAAAATAGATTATGATTTTAATTATAGTGATAAATTCATATAACTCAAGAGTTTATTCTTAATCCACACAAGTTGAGTTATTGATCAGAAACTTAAACACATACGGTTTGAATTCGAATTTCACCAATCGCATAAAATTTGCGTATAATCAATGTATGTGGCTTTGCAGATATATAATATAAAATAGGATAGACTTCAAAAAGTCTATTCAACGGTATCAAATAGACTCAGTCAACGGCCACCAACATCCCTCTCAAAATCATTCAGATTGCATCGTGACGAATTACTCCTAGTAATTACATATATCCAACGTTTGGATAGTGTGTGGTTGGAGCGTACAATGAAAGATTAAGTCCAACCAAACGAAGTTTGAGGCTAATCAAAATTTGAAGGATTGCTTTCACAATTTTAAGGAAAACACGGATAAAAACTAGAATCGTCTCTTTTTTAGCCATACGTTATTCGTGTGTTGTCCGATGGTTAACTTTTAGAGACCAAAAAAATTACTGTAGCGAAGAAAAAGCTGCTCTTAGGGATGCCCTTTTTGGTGGGGGGAAAATTTCTTATAGTGCATGTAATAACAAGAGATGATGATGGTGATAATAGTTCTCAGTCCTATGGTTCTTTGAGCTAGGATTCATTTCGAAGTAGGTTATGACACAACTTAAAATGTATACACAATTATAATAAAAGTACACACACATGATACCCGCAATTTTCAGATTCTTAACCAACTTCTGAAAAGACTGTTTTTGTTATTCGAACTTATGTTACCTCGGTCACAAAGGAACAATATTATTGTTGCATCAAGACCCGCACTCATGTGAAACAATAAATCAAGTGATTAAGTTTGATGTAATCATGGTATCAAAACTAACAGAAATTGAAGAAACACAGAAAGGTGCCCACATGGTAATTGAAGGAAAGATGTCTACTAACCACTTTAACAACATTCAAGCAACCCATTGATGCTCTCTCTCTCTGTCTCTAGTACTAAAAAACAATCAAAAAGCAAAGCAAAAGGTTGGAGAACTGAACAGACGATAGAGGTGAACGAGGAGAGGAGAGAGAGAGATTATCTTGATGAGGACTGAATGGGAGATGTGATAATGTATATATAGAGTACAAAATGGTTTGGTGGACGTAAAAGATTACGTGGGGAAGGTAGTGATGAACACCGTTCTTAAGTCCATTAGAGAAAAAAAGGTGGAAATGATGACAAAGAAATGTGGTGGAAGAAAACATGTTTGATAAGGGCAGAAGAAAACATGCAACTATATATGATATGGTTGGATACAGAGATCAAATGACCAGATAATGTCTCTTTCAGAGAGAGAGAGAGAGAGAGAGGACTAGTTGTGATTAAGCTGTAATGATGCTGACACATTTGAATCATGCACTTCATATGACCAACTTTGTGCTTTTTAATAGTGTTTTTTGTTAGGTTTTTACAAATTTATTCATATGACTAAGTATTAAAATATCTATGAGACTATGGTAATGTGTAAAAATTATGTATAACTATAAACAAATGAAATAAAAAAAAGAGAATAAACGATGTGGAGTTAATATGGGCGGTGTTTTTACTCTGCTTTGTCTCATTTAAAATCGTGATTTTGCTCAATATATCAATGCTACATTATATTATTTTATTATCGTGTCTTACTTTTTGATCAATTTACTATTTACCTATAAATAAGAGCAATTTCAACTCACTCTCTATTTTCCCTTTTTTTTTTTAACTATTTTACCTACCCAAACACTAGAAAAGCTCTCCAACTCACTCTCTATCCCCCATTTCACCAAAATGGCTCTTCAAATTTGAAGAGTCATTCAACCTCTCTAAATTCTCTCTCTCTCTCTCTTTATATATTTTCAAATTATTGAAAATTAGTTAATATAGTTAGCTAAAATAAAAAGCGTTGTTAGAATAAACTTGTAAAAATGAATTTTTAAAATAGAGAATATAATATTTAAATATATTTTAAATAGTTAAAATAAAAAGGTGGATTGAAGTTGCCTAATATAGCCATAAATAAGCACGCCATCTATTGGGAAGCTTTTTTGGGGGTGATTGTTGCTGTGGATCCCATAACACCTAAAGCAGCGTCTGGCTGCCTAAATAAAATAAAGTTTAGCTGAGTGGTCATGATTCATGAAGCAATTTTGTTATTATATTAAAAAAAAATTATACTTTAACCCTCTCAACTATGCCTTTATCTCAAATTATCCCGTGAACAATTACGTTTTTCATATTACACCTCAATTTATGGTTATTGATTTTACTGTATCCTAATTGCAGAAGTCTTATAAAAATTGAATAGAAAGTTGTGGTACTTTACCTTCGAACTAAGTGAATATATTTCATCATGGGTTCGATATAAATCTAGTAACACATGGATACTTTTGTCGGAGACACAAAAACCATTTTGTTTTTGGGTAATGTGGAACTAACTAAACCATCGATGAGGAGGAAAATATAAGAAACTCCGTAATAGAGAAGGTAAAGTGAGATCGGAATTATATTTTAAAGATACAAAATATAATTTAGCCTTATTATAAACTTGCAAAGCATTAAATATGAAGTTGGATTCAGAGAGAACTATAAATGGACAACAGATCATGGAGAACCAGCTGCCTTCAACATCCTTTTCCTCTTCCTTTTTTTATTGTGAAGTGGGAGTTGGAGGACTAGGACAAAACCTAAGGCCACTATATAAATTTTGTCATGTATACCAGCTTTAATTTGTTGATATTGAAGGATGCTAAACTGAGTCAGAATTCAAATGAAGAGACAGGGGCAACAAAACCTGTGAAGGTGTTATCTAAAAACCTAGGCTTGACTGTAATTGATTTGTTGTGAGAATATTAGCCGCCAATTGTTAAATTTAAAAATTGAAACCCTACATCTTTATAGTACAATAACACTCTCGAGACCTTTTTTTTTTTTAATTTTTTTTTATGGGTATGGGTTTTCTCGGCATAAATATATATGAAAAAGCACAATCCCTATCCTCTCCTACGTATGGTGGATGATAGATGATGGTGATACCACCGAGCCACATAGGCTCATGGTATTTGTAGTTTAGAGAATAGAGACTTTGTCGATTAAATCATTGACACTTAGTATCGCAACAAATATATTGATGTTGAAGCTGCTAAAAATGAGGAAGGTAGCAATCAATCAAGAGATTTGCAATATCAAAAAAGGTAAAACACAACAGCCTTTACTATATCTCTTTGGTCAAAAAAAAAAATATGTGGTATCAAAAAAAAAAAATCATTATTTCATTTTGAAAAAAATTACGATCAAATAAAACTCAAAAAAACATTAGGACCGACTTCATTGAATTATAACTTAATCTACTTAAATCGCAATTTAATTTTACCATACGATATCGAAAAACTATAATGGAAAATGTTATTTGGTAATTAATATCATTGTGGTATAATATTTTAAGTAAGATAGTCCACCATTATGTTTAATCCAAGGAAGACTATGGTACTGATTTCGATATTGTACAAAAATTATAATTTTTTAAAGGAGAGTTATACTTTTTAAAAGAAAAGTTACAATTACTTAAGGTAACTTTATAATTGATTATGAAAGTATGATCGATAACGAATATCCCAAATTAATTATAACTTCACATTTAAAAAAAATAATTTGACGTAAAAATTAATAATTACTTTCAATGCGGTACCGAATGTTTTTCTCGGTACTATAGGATTACCCGTTTAATCCAAGATATTGAGGTTGAACTTCTGTGAAAATATCTCCCAACTAAGAAAAAAGAGAGAGAGAGATATAATTTTTCTAAGGAATGGCTCAGTCGACATTACAATGATGATATTTGATGATTTGATAAGCCAACAGGACATGAACGTCTCATTGAAGTCTTGCTGAAAATGATGTTGAGACGTGTATGATAAACTCCAGATTACCAACCCTTGACTCTTGAACCCTAATTTCTGAGGCAATCTAGACCAGGAAATCTGATGTCTTGCCTTAGTTTTTGACCTTTTTAAGTTGCTTGTAGATTCAGAAACTGTGGTTCTATAATGTCATAATGATATGCTTTATAAGTCCTGATTTGTGGGCAAGCTAGAACAAGTAAACATAGATATGGATAATTCATCCTGATAAGTCAAATGACAACACTATCAATCGTATTTGGTGAAGCGTGTTTGCATAAAAAAGTATTATATTCATACCCGATTCGTTTATTAATTCGTGTCTAACGAATCATGTCATATCAGATCTGTATTGTATATAACTGGTATATATATAAATCGTATTTTATATTTTTTTTTTGATTAATTTCACACTTATTTATTATTTATTTATTAATCATGTCATGTCAGATCGAGTCCATTCATTTACGAAACATCTTGCTTAAGAAAGACTCAAAAAATCATGCATATATTAGTATTGGCTCCCTAAAAATCAAGTCGATGACAGTTCCAACAATGCCAAGTAGTCACCATTTCCAGTCTTGGGGGGCAATAAATTAAGAGTCTAAATGCGTATTTTTTTTTTTTTGAAATTAAGGTAAAATTACTTCTTTTTTCTATCAAATTTGAGCATAAATGGACATACCAGTAATGATTATTTGATGAATATGTGTTGAATTTTCGATAATGCAAAAAAAATTTAGTTAAAATTTAAGTGAACTAAATCGATATCGTTAAATGTTTGATAAATTGATCATAATTTTTTTTATAGTTAGTTGAACAAATTTTAATAAATTTTCAAGATTTTATGGGGAAACAAATAATATCACAATACCTTGCTTGAAACTGAATAAGCATCTTATTGATTGATCTAGTTGAATAAAATTCGTGATTATAAATTCATAGTTTGCGTTGCAGTCAAAAGTCTAAAAATAAGTAATAATTGGGACAATTCTCCAATATCTCGGAATTAAAAAAAAGAGCCTATATTATATATTTCTGTACAACTTTTGGTGCATTTCTTATTTGGATTTTTGGTGGCATATCCTTCAAAAACCTTAAACTTGACTCAAGAAACATGGCCAACTACATAATTGGCATATGACAGATATTTATGCTTTTTTTTTTTTTTTGGTTGGTTAAAAACGGTGTGGGACAAAAGAAAAAGTTCAGAGATCATTTCAATAAGTTTTTACTGGTAGAATCATGAGATTTTTTACTACGCCCGTTATTTCTTTTGAGAACGAACCTAAATAGACTGAACCCTGATATAAATTTCAAGATTTGAATCTCTAATTTCAGGTTGAGAAGTTCAACTAGCATCGCACTGAACCACTCCCATCGGTAGTCAGATATTTATGTTATTAAGTGCATGGAGAGAATTCATTTTGTACTATAACACTTGTCTTTTTTTTTTTTTTTTGTGCTACTGTAACACTTGTCACTTTTTGGGGGTGTCTATACCTTTTTTTGAGCGGACTTTATTTATTATCAATTGGGTTTTTTTTTTTTTTTTGGGTCAAGATTCACAAAGAGTTTGAAAGAGTAATCGGCGGGTGAAACTCTTGTTTGGGCGTGATTATAGCAATCCAATCCCACGGAAGAAGCTCACTAGTGGGGTCTAGACAACGAAAAACCGCAACTGTTCCCAAAGGTTTCTGTGGATCTAACTCTACTTACTAATCTCATTAGAGTTCAGGAAGATAGTAACTTGGGCAATGCAAGCCACAGGACCACCAACCCTATGATATCATCTTTATGCTCTGTTTGATATGAATGATAAAAAATAAAAAGAATGAAAAGTATGAAAGATACATTTTTTATCATTCAAGGAAAGAAAATAAGAATGATATACTTTTTTTCCTTTATTTTGGTTGGATGGATAGAAAATAAAAATAATTAATTTTTTTTTTGTGTTGTCTAAGATTAAAGGTGACAATTGAGTCGTGTCAGATTTGTGTTGAGTCAGGTTATTTTCAAGTTCGCATGTTAAGTCATTTTCAAGTTCATGT